GACGTTTCACCGGGAGGGTCCCACACCCTCAGTGACCTGCGCGGGGCTCCCTTAGACACAGACTGACGCCTGTGTCCCCAGCACACTGATCAGCAGGGCCTCCCTCGAGTGCCGGGGCCTCCCCTCCCTCTGACCGCGCTGTGGGACCCCCCACCAACACACACTGACCGCCCCCTCCGCCCGCTGCACCCCGATCCCTGCAGGCTCCCCCCGCCTCGGCGGTGTCCCCACCCGCTCCCCCGGCCCATGTGCCCGTCCCTGCCCGGTACCTGCACATTCTCCCGGCCCCCCGGCCCCGCTCGCTGCTGCCTTGAGGCCCCGCGGCCGTTGCGGCCTCCCAGGCGGGGGCGGTGCTGGCCCCGCCCCTACCGGAAGTGACGCAATCGCCCCGCGCCCGTTGCCATGGGAACAGCGCGGCCGCCTCATGGCGGGGACGCGGCGCGGCCCTTCCCTCCTCAATCCCTGGATCCCAAATGGGGCTGGAAGGGACCTCTGGAGATCATCCAGTCCGACCTTGGCAGGGTCACCTGGGCTTGAGATGTCTCCTGAGAAGGAAACTTCCCCGCCTCCCTGGGCAGCTGTGCTGTGCTCTGCCATCCTCAGTATAAAAAATGTTCCTTCCTCACGTTGAGCTGGGACTTCTTGTGGTTCAGTTTATGGCCATTGCACCACTGAAAGGAGACTTGCACTCACGTTGGAGATATTTATGTGCATTGGTGAGACCCCCCTCTTGCTGGAAAATATACCAAGTTTAAAATTTTTATTTTCTAACTTTAGTCACGTTTGTTCGCCTTTGCCCCGGGGGAAGGGAACTGAAGTTTTTCCCCAAAGCATTGTTCCACTAGGTGAGGCCTGATAAGTTCAGCATCTCAACAGGCTGAGAGCAGCACAAGAGATACATGAGAGATAAGGGCCATCAAGGGCCATTGGTGAACCATCAGCAAACATCAGCGAACATCTGCTCCAGACCTGCCCTCCGGCACGGCTGGAGACACCTGGAAAAGGCTGATAAGGAAATGCAGGAATGAAGACCTAATTAACATCAGAAGCGAGGAAATCAGTATCCAATATGAAACCAAATAGTAAGAACTGCGCAACTCGGGACCAGTGAACATGAAACCGATGGATTTCTACAGGACTGTATAAAGTTTGAGAAAAGTTCATGGAGCGTGGTCCCCTGCGGCTGAAGGGCAGCGGGGACGCCCTGAGGGTGAAGGGTGAAAAAAAGGCGGCGAAAGACAAGGCCCAGATCTTGGAGCAGATCGGGAGCAGCAAGCAGCAGCAGCAGGAGGAGGAGAAGCGCGGGCTGGACAAACGCACCTCGGCGCAGGTGGCCTTCGAGAAGATGCAGGAGAAGCGACAAGTGGAGCGGGTCCTGAAGAAAGCGTTGAAAACCCACAAGCAGTGGAGGAGATCAACAGGCACTTGGATGCTCTGACTGAGCACTGCAACATTCCCAAAGTCAGCTGGACTAAGTGACTGGCCTGCTTGTCACGGCTCTGAAGCTGGGCTTTCTTTCTATCAGGCAGTGCTGCCATGTGCATCTGTCTATTTTCCATATTGTGGAATATAACTTCTGAGCCTTTGTGACTTTATATTGTCTTATAGTCTTTTTTTAAAAAATCAAACATCCAACACTCCCGGTCTTCTCTGGATTAACCAAGCCCAGCTCCCGTGGTCTCTCCTCACAGATGCTCCAGACCCCAATTCATCTTTGGGGCCTCTGCTGGACCCTCTCCAGTAGCTCCTTGTCCTCCTTGTCCTTCTTGTCCCAGAACTGGACACAGCACCTCAGCTGTGCCTCACTGCAGCCGAGTGAGGGGCAGGATCATTCCCTGCCCTGCTGGCCACACTCTTCCCAGATGTCCCCCGGGGTCCCATTGTCCCCCCGACCCCAGGACACTCTGCTGGCTCAGGGACAGTTTGTCATCCACCAGGACCCCCAGGCCCTTCTCTGCAGAGCTGCTCTCCAGGGTCACTCCCAGCCTGTGCTGGCATTTGGGGTTGCTCCTCCCCGGGTGCAGGACTCTTCCCTTGCTGAACCTCCTCAGGTTTCTGTACACCCAGCTCCTCAAGGTCCCACTGAATGGCAGCTCAGCCTTCAGGTGAATCAGCCACTGCCCCCAGCCTGAATCATCGTGAAACCTGATCAGGATCCATTCTATCCCTCCAGCAGGTCGTTGCTACACAAACTGAACAAGGCTGGACAATCCCTGGGGACAGTGCTGACCACAGCTGGACTCTGCTGTGCATAGCAGGCCCCTCTGAGCTCTGCATTCAGCCAGGCCCTCCCCTCCAATTCATTTATTCCACATTTCCTGTGTCTACCTACGAAGATGTCACGGGAGAGCATCCAAAGTCTTGCTGAAGTCAGTCCTGGTGCCAAACACTGCCAGAACACCCCCACACATGGTTATGGGGAGGGGGGGAGGCTTTGAGGGCCTGTCCCAAACTCCCTTTCCTGCTCCAGCCCCACGGAGGTGACAGCAGACAAGAGGGAACCCAGGAGAACCTGAGAGCCCCTCAAACCCCAGCCAGAGCTCCCTACTCAGCCAGAAGGCAAAATCCCAGACAGGGATTAAGTGTCAGGGTTGAAGTGATCTCTGGAGACCATCCAGTCCAACTCCTTGTGGATTTGAGATCTGGGGGGTGCAGGTCTGGGCTGCTTTGATCCCCGGCCAGCACCAGGTACTGTGAATGATCATCCACAGGGAAACTGAGGCACAGAGCCCCAGAGCCACCCCAGAAGAGCCCAGTGGTGCCCCACCAGACACCCCTGCCTGAAACAGAGCACCCACAGCATCCAAGCAAACTAGACTGTGTTGTATTTACACTCATGGACAGGGAGGAAGGAACAGGGAAAAGGGCAGTGCTGGAGAAGCAGGTGGCTATGGGCTTTCCCAACGGATCCATGGGAGCTGCTGCACTTCCTCGGGGCTGGTGGCTGCAATTCCTGCTTCCCCTGAGAGTGAGGGATCATTCTCAGCCAAAAGCTCAGTGGCAAACCCAGCCTGGCCACCCAGTTCCACGCTGACGGCCCAGGTGTATCCAGGGGTAACACATGCAGACACTTGTGTGCTCCAGACATAATGTCAGTGTTATCCAGAAGGAAAAACGTGAGGAAAAGGCTGGCAAGAGGCAGCCTTGCTCCTCTCTGTGGTGGAGTGGGGAATCTGCATCAGTTTAGGACGTTCAGATGCTACTGGTACCACCAGAGGATGGCAGCTGGCAGAGAGCACACACTGCTTTGGCTGGAGCAGACTGCAAAAACCAAACACTCAGATCTCCCCACCAGTTCTGGGCAGAACTGCCACAAGCAGGGCAGGAAAACAGCCCTTAGAAGGAAGGAATTGCTGTGATTTCCCCAGCTGGGCCCCGCAGCTCTGCTCTCCAACACCGAGGGAAACACTTCCAAAGCGTGGGATGGCCAGCAGTGGGACAGAGGCTGCTGCTTGTCCCCCGGGACACATCCGGGTTTCTCTGTTTGTGAGAGCCAGAGCCCCGTGGCCACAGCCCCGCCTCAGGTGTTCCCAGGAATTCCCCGGGCATGGGAGGGGCTGTGGCTATGCCCCAGGAGCCTCTGCCTGCCTTGTGCTGCATCCCTGACCCCAGGTCCTCCCAACAGAGCCCTCCGGGTGCTTGTTCTGGAGTGGTACTGAGATGGCATTTGGCTTTTCCTACACCTCCCTTCCTGTGTGTGTGTGTGCACCCCCAGAGCCTTCAAAGACCCTTTTGAGGTGCTTGAGGCATTTGAGCATGTTCACTATAGCCCAAAGTTCTCCTTCTGCCTTCCCTTCTACCCTGGAGCCCTCCCTGGGCCTTCCAGCACCTCAGGGAATTCTGAGTCTTTCAGTGAGCCCAGAGCCCTCCAAGCACCTCTCCCTGCTCCCCGGGTCTCTCCATGGGTGTTTTTGAAGCTCCGCCAGGACTTCTGGGCACCCTGGGACCCTCCTTGTGACTTTCCCTGTGTCCCAGTTCCCTCTGTCTGGCTTGCAGAGCATCTCCTGGGGACCTGGCCCTGCCTCTCATCCCACAGGGAGGGAAGAGGTAGAGGAGAGCAGCTGGGTGGGCTCCCCAACCTCTCCCCAATACCAGCATCGCCCACACGGGAGGAGGGGACCCCACTGTCAGCTGGATGCAGAGACAGGTCCAGAAGCAGAGGTGTAGGGACCTGAGCTTTGTGCACAACCCTGATGAGAGTGACTCGTGTAAGGCAGAAGGCAGGGAGAGAGGAGAGAAAGGAGAGGAGAAAGAGGAGAGGAAAGACGGGAGAGAGGAGAGCAGGCACAGGCAGCGCTGAGGGACACACCTTGCTGGGAATGCAGCTGGGGTTATCCAGGGGTGCTGAAGCAGGAGGCTGGAGCAGGGGTGTCCCCGGCTCCCTCCCTGCAGAGAGAGGCACAAGGCAGCAAGCAGAACCTCCGAGAAGGTCCTGCCCAGCCCACATCACTTCAAGCCACCAAATAACTTCCCTGTGCCAGCATCACTGCTCAACCCCCTTGGTGCTTCTCCAACAGCGTCAACATAGGGTGGGGAGAAGGGTCTGGGGTGCTGGAACTACAGAATCAACTTATCTGCATCTGAGAGCAAACACCTCCCGGGGAGCAGACGGCAGCCTGGCTGCCAGGATCCCCCAGCTCCCGGGATTGCAGGCAGAGGGAACAGAGTCCAGCTGCTCAGGGATTGTGGCCACAAATCCTGGGTGGTTTGCAGGACTCAGAGCCGCCAGGAAGGGAAAGGCTGCCCGGCAGAGCCCGGCCACTCACGCCGTGCAAACCACCCGGAAAGAGGAGAGTCCGAAGGTCTTAGCGCTGGAGCAGCAGGGCAGGACGGTCCCTTTCCTTTGGGAAGCTGGTTGAGAACACATCAGCTGAGCTGTGGCTGTTGGACAGGCAGGAGGGGAGAGGAGCAACACCAACTGACTGCCAGAGGTGCGAGGAGTCCCCATGTCCAGGTGCCGGGTTCGTGTGCGCTGCTGGAGTTACCCTCACACCGCCGCAGGGGCTGGGAGGAGGAGAAGGAAGGCTGGGAGGAAGGGGAGGAGCACCAGGCAGCCTGGCTGCAGTTCGATCTGCTCAGACCCCTTCACAACTTCTGAATCTTCTCGGCGATAACGATGGGGTTTTCCTTGCGGATCTTCTCGGCAGCTTCTGCCTTGTAGTCGTAGGGGCAGGCGTGCATGTCAGAGTACCGGTGAATGGCACAGAACAGGTTCCCACAGCGGCAGTCGAAGCCTGTGAGGAGGAGGAGCAAGGACAAAACCACATCAGGCCCCATCCAGCCGGGCAGGAAGGCAGCAAGGCCTGGCTCCTTCCTGCCATGCCAGGAAATGCCACCAAGGCAGAGAGAGGGGCAAGGAAGGGGGGCTGGCTGTCCCCCACAGGCCAAAGGGACTCTTCATTTGGGGAAGACCGTGGGTGGCTCTTTGCTTTCCTCTGGCTCAGGAGCTCTGCATGCTTTGGGCAGCCCCAGCTGTCACATGGTGGGAAACGCTCGCAGAGCAGCTGCTGTCCATGTTCCCTGGGGACAAGGGACGTGCCAGGCACTGCAGAGTGCCAGATTGCTAATCCAGACTCCCCAGGCAGCCCGAGCTGGAGCGGAGCCCTCTGAGCCAGTCCAGCTCCCCAGGGTCACACAGCAGCAGCTGGACTGACCAGCAGCAAGCAGCAGAGCTGTCACCACGTTAGGATCATGTTTGAGATACTTAGGCTTCAAAATTCCCAGTGTAGTCACTTCACTCAGGGGCAATGATCAGAGTGCTACCATCAACACAGCACACTGGGAAAGCAAGGCAGGGAGCAAGCAGGGGATGTACTGCAGGGAATCTCACTGCCAGGGAATCATACTCTGTCCCTTCACCTTTTTCCAACTACAGGCTGTAAAGCCCACAGATACCTTGCTCCAAGTTTACTCCTGGCTGAGAAAACTCGTTTTATTCTAAATACCCTGAATTCACAGGAGTTCTCTGTAAGATGAATCCTAAAGAAGAGAATTTCTCATTGTTTAAAGCTCTTAAGGAAACACTCATCCAGGAAAACAATCCTCTCTGCAAACTGAAGGCTGGGCACAGAGTACCCGGCCCAGCCTCAGCCTTATCAACTCACCTCTATTCTAGGACAGTGCCCGTGGATTTCCAGGCAAGCTCAGGTTCAAACTTTGCCAAAGTCTCTTATATCCATGAAAACAGCCAGTCCCTGGCTCCTGGATGCACCAAGCAAGCTACAGAAGCAAGTGCTCTGCCAGAACAGCATAACCTGCACAGCTCCAGAGTTAACTTTTTTCCAGGGAAGCACTAAATGCCAGAGATAATTTAGGAGAATGATGTTTTTATTAACAAACCACAGCCAACTTAACTGCTTTACTTTACAGGAGCCATTTTCCCATTAATAGCAGTGCCCTGACATCCCAGCACTTCTCTCTCCAGCTTTACAGGCTGCATGCTGAGAGCCATCCTGCTCTCAGGAAGCTAACAGTGGAAATCAGGCAGCATTAACAAATGGGATGAGTCTTGCAGAGGGATTTTCCATTTGGGTCTAGCTCAGTTCATGTCACTGTTACGAAAGCTTTACCACAGACCTGACCAGGAGCGGATTCCAATCCACAATGAGCTCTGCCTTCCTCTACAGCAGCTTCTGCCAAGAGGCAGAAACGACCAAGAGGTGCTGCTGCATCCAATCCTGCTCCCAAGGGCTGCCAGGATCCTGGCAGTGAGTGGGATGTTCCCCAGGCTGCTGCCTCAGCCAGTGCTGTTGCAGGTCAGAGCTCTCCTCCCTCCTCTCCTGCAGCACCATGGCTCCAGGATGGATTTGGGGGGAACCTCCAGCCTCTGACCCTCCAAACCCAGCAGCACCACAGCACTGTACTCAAGGGCTCTCACTCTGGACTGCTTAGGGCACAGGGAAGTTTTCCCAGAGCCAGGCACTCACCAGTCAGCCCAATCTTCTTCCGGCAGGTGAAGCAGCGATTCTTCTTCGGTTTCGGTTTCTCCAAAGCCATCTTGCCCTCAGCCGTGTTCTGGGATATCTCAAGCAGGGTACCTGACACAGAGGCAAGAGTTTTGCTGCCCTTCTTGATAAACCAAACGTTAATTTTATTACAGGAGCTGCTTGAGGCTCTAGTGACTCTGTGTGTGCACACTGCCCTGGCTGACATACCCCAAACTGTGAGATTTGCCTTGTTTCTCAGAGATCTCCACCTCATAGCTTTCTCTCTGTTTCAAATGCCTTAAATCCAAAGCTGGAGTGGCCACTGGACAGTGACTGGATAGTTACTACAGCTCAGCTGCTGTACAGCAGCACAGCTGTCAGCTGAGCCCACAGTTAATCTTTGCAGGGAGGAAAAAAGTTAACCCCTTGTAAGTACTATTAATTATTTTTGCTAACTCTTATGTAAGTGTTCCCCATATGTAGGTCTTAGAATGTTTTACACAGATATCCATCACTGCCTCTAATCTACCAAAGGGAAAACTGAGCTCTCAAAGCCAGATTGTTAAAGGTCACTGATGCTTAGCAGGATTTCCTCCAGTACCTAAGCAGGTTAGAGAAGTCAACAGGAGGGAGGAGCTCCAACTGCTCATTGGAGCACCTGCGGTGCAGGCTGCTCTGAGGAGACAAAACAGAGACAGCTTTATGGAGCTGACCCTAAACAGCCTCCTAAAAACTACACAGGCAGATGAAAGGGACAGGCTCTCCCAAGCCTCTTTTTAACAGCCTCTCACCTGCCTGTTCTAAATCGTCTCCTGGGCTTGCAGGCAAGGGATTACCAAACCCAAAATGCCTATGTGTGGTGACTAGAGCCTGGCTTTTCAGCAACCAATAGCTCCTGGATTTTTTTAGCTTTCAATGCAAGCAAGCTGTCAGCTGAGCAAAGGAGGGTGTCTGCATGCAGATCACCTGCTTATGGCATCAGCTGGAGGATGTGCCACGCTGGGCAATCACTCTGCTGCTCCTCAATCACATCAGGGCACCCACTGTGTAATACCCTCCGAGGGACAGGTGCCCCCATCACACGGGGTGACAACAGCAGGCCTCCACTACCCCCAGGCACTGTCACAAACGAGTCTCCCGTCTCCAAGCCTCGATGGATCCGTCTCCCTTCCTCCCCCTCGGGAGCTGGCAGGGGAGTGCCGCCAGCAGAGCCGTGGCAGGCTGTGGGACGCTCCGGGCTCACTGCCATTCGCTGCGAGAGGCGTCATGGAAGATTATCCTCCTGCCAGCCACTCGAGGGTTGGCAGCCACTCAGCCCTCAGCCCACAGAGCAATCTCTATTGGCCTGCCCTCAAGCACAGTATTTGCTCTCCTCCCTGTCACCAAAACAAGAGTTTCCTCCTCTGCTCTCAGGTGTGCCTTTACTGCCGGGAGGGGACACATCCCAGGGTCAGCAGCTGTCCCTGCTGCTCCAATGGACTCCTGAGCTCAGTGTCACTCAGATTTGTGTAAAGGACAAACCAACCACCCTACCTGATGAAGAAGAAGCTGATGAGGCTTCATCTGTCTTGCTGAATTCCTCTGTCTCGTTGCTAGTTTCCTCTCTGGATATGCTCATGGCTGTCATCTGATGGGTCACAGGAGTCTGAGCGCTGGGAGCATGTGCAGCAGACAAACAAAAAGAGAAAACACAACTATCTTCATTTGATGGACGGTTATGTGGGAGACACCTTCAGCCCATAAAGTTTATTTCCTTATATTCAAAAGTAGGTCAGGAGCACAGCAGGTCAATTCCCCTTGAGATCTGGGATCAAAGTTCTTTATAGACATAAACGGAATGAATCTGTGATGATCTCAGTTTCCCTTTCCACCCAATTATATCTCAAAGCAAAGCAAGAACCCATACAAACAAGTGCAGGGGCAGGGAATCACAGTTATGAGTCAGGGCTGTAATGTGATGGTAGAGCTCAGTGCAGCCCTGTCCTCCTTCCCATCAAACAGGCCCAAGGTCTCTATCCTGCTGTCACAGCTTCCAGACTGGGTCATCAGCAGTTGCTTTCATTTAAGAATCACGGGACATTCTGAGTTCATGATCCTCGTGATCCTTCCAAGTCCAACTCTTGGCCCTGCACAGGAAAACCCCAAAAATCCCACTGCTTGGGACTGAGCAGAAATGGAACAGCTGAACAGAGCCAGGGACAGACAAGGTGCACTGGCTCCAGGAAAACCAAGATAACAATTTACTACCAACCCTCTGGTACCTCACTCTACAGATCAGACATCAGCAGCAGCAGGGACATCTCAATCTCCCAAATAAACCAGAGTCACAATGCAGAGATTGACCCAGCCCGTTTACAGACTGGCCATGTAAAGGATGACACTCCCATCTCTGTGGGTACCTGTGTACCAGAGCTGGATTTTAGCAGGGTTTAGATCCCCTCCAGGCTCTGCCCCTACCTGGCCTTTGCATCCTCAGGTGTGGAGTCTTCCTCTGCACACTGTCCTGCGATTGCCTCAGGAGCCATGGGGCTGCTGCTGGGACCACTGGGTGCTACAAGACAACAGCAGGCTTGGTCAAGTCTCTGAGAAGTACCAGCAAGTTCCTCAGGTGCTTGATAGCCAAGGAGAAAGCAGAACAAGCACTTTCCAGCAGGCTTCACACTCCTGCTCCCTACTGGAGCTGGGAGGGCTTCCATATCCCTATTCCTACACTCTCCTCTCCAAATCTGTGTACGGGACTCTGTGGAACAGCAGGGCTGTCTGGATCTTGAACCCAATGGCACTTTGTAATTTCTCCAAGGTGTAAGAACCAGATCCTCATCTGTTGAAAGGAAATGCTTCAACAGACACCTGTGGGTTTGTATCAGCTGACGATTTAAGCTGGGGTCTTAGGCAAACTCTTTGTCAGGAAAAGTCATGTTCCTGAGCATATTTTGTGTGGGTGACTCCATGATTACCCTCAGGAATAAACTGTGAAAGAACTGTCAGAGGCATTTCTCATTCTGTACATGGGGCATCTGCACAAACCCCCAGCAAAAGAAATCCCTGGTTTCAGAGAGCATCCTTCCCCTGCTCCCATCCCAAGTGCAGGAAACAAACCTTGTAAGTCATAGCTTTTAGATATCACACTGTTAAGATAAGAATATTATACAATTAGGCCAAATAACATTTCATTGTGGGGCTTTGTCATGATTTCCAGCAGTCAGCACCTAATCAGGGAGCAGGAAATAGCTGAAAGCTAGGATCACCATTAGCACATGTGAAATTTTACAGTTTACTGGAAGGTGCTGGCTAGGATGGGGCTTCACTAACTGGGAAGAAAACTAGTGCCCCTCCTGATAGGGAACAGAAGTGCTTGAGGGCTTGGGTCATTGATTTAGAGCCTTGGGTATCCATGGAAAGGGGAAGATGGTTTTTCTAGGAGGGGGTAAATCTGCTGGTGACCAGGTACCAGCACCATGCTCTATCACAGCTATTGAACACAGTTTGTATCCAGACACCCACTGAAGACAGATTTACAGGAAAAAATGCTCTACCTGGAGGGCTTATCCGGTCACTGCTCTGCTGCCTCTGCAGGAACTCCTTGTAGCACACGGAGCACATCCCGTTGGTCCGGGGGCTGCCATAGAACCCACAGCCCGTGGTGCACAGCAGAGGCACCTGCGTCTGGTTCGTCTCCTGAGCCATCCTCGCTCCTCTGAGGCACCGAGCTACAACCAAGAATCAAAAATAAACTCAGGACAGCTGTGAGGGCTGGAGCACTTGGGCATTGTGTGCTGCAGCTGATCAGGAAGGAGCACAAAGGATCCCAAGAGAGCCCAGTTCCTGCACGTGCACAACAACACCACCCCAGGCCCCTGAGCACTTGGGGCTCCTAAAATCCATGTCTTGGGGCCCTAAGCCACCCAGAGCTCAGCAGCCAGGAGCTGCCCAGAGCCAGACTGGAAGGCAACAGGAACTGGCTCCCGGCTCTCCCTCCTGCACCACGAGGCTCCCAGAACTCCCAGTGACACATGAGCACATCAGACCCGAACAATCCACTCTCCACCGCTACAAAATGTGCCCCCACAGCACTACTGATGCCCCCTGTGAACACCCACACCTCAAACACCCAGTGCAGGCCTAGTCAGTCACATTTTGGTTTTCATTTCAAGCCCGGTTTAGTTTTTTAATGCTCAGGAAGATGACGCAAGCAGTGCAAAAAGAAGCCACTGACGCTCTGTTCTGACATACGTGGGTAAGGGGAACGTTAGCATGGTTAGGTTGGAAATAAAGATAAGGTTTTGTTTCCAGCAGTAAGACGTGATTCCAGAACACCTTCCCAGGGAAAACAGCTGACACAGTGAAACCTAATTTTAAATTTAATCTTAATAATTTCTCTCTGGATCACATGCAGTTACCTCCAACCCCAGGAACTGGCCCCTTCCAGCCACACACGGTGTAGCATTTACAGGGCCAAACCCACCACAGTGCTCCAAATGAGAACCATGAGGCACAAACAAAAACCACACACAATTCCAATGCGTGTGGACAACGTGGCTGCAGCCAGTCCAGCTCTGACACAGAAAAAGGAGAAAGGATGTGTGCGAGACCATGGTGGGTGCGGGTGGCTCCAGCTCGGGCACAAAGCCACGGCGTTGGTACCAGGAGCCCCGGCAGTGCTGCCTTTGTGGGATACACGAAGTACCCGGCCAGCTCTGCCGCTTCCCTTCCTGCTCCTACAAAACTTGCTTCACCAAGGGAATAAACAAGACGAACACGAAATCATTACCCTGCCAGAAGCGCTCCCGTGGGACGGAACCGGATCACCTCTGGTTTATCCTCCTCGTCCTCAACTGGGGGATGCGGGTCTCGCCTCCGCACCCGGGGGTCCCTCGCAGAGCTCAGACCAGCGCTCCCATCGCCACACTGGGATCCTCCCGGCCCGAACCGGCCTCTCCTCGGGCACTCGCAGCCAGGGCAGCCCCGGCAGCGGTGGATCCCTCGGGGGTCCCGGTGCCACACGGACAAACCTTCGGGAGCTGCTGTCGATCGAGCGTCCCTGCAGAGAGAAGGGGCCGCGGGCTCAGCGCTCCCCTAGCGCCGCACGGCGCGGCCGGACGGACGGGCCCGAGCCGCGGCCCCCGCGGTGCCCGGGCGACCCGGGGCTGCCGGGACCCCCCACCAGGCCAGGGAAAGACCCCCGCCCGCTTCTCCCGCGGCTGGGCCCGGCCCGCCGCCCCCGTCCCCTGCGGCCGAGCCCCGCGCCCCGCTCCCGGCCCGCGGCGCTAATCGAGGCCGAGGCTCCGCGGCCTGCGCGGAGCGGGAGCCCCGGGCCGGGCCCCGCTCGCCGGGCCCCACTCACCGGCGGCGGAGGAGGGCGGGCGGCCCCGGGCCGGGCCGGGCCGGGCCGGCCCCGGGAGGCTCAGGCGAGCAGCGGGCAGGGAGCGCTGCCGGGAAACATGGCGGGCGCGGGCCCCGAGCGCCTCCCCCGGGGAGGGCCCGGGACGGGGGGGACGGGACGGGGGGGACGCGAGGCCTGGGACGGGGCCGGGGGTGTCGGTGTGAGGCGGGGATAGAGCCGGGGGTTGTGATACCCCCGGGCACAGGGGCGGGGGCGGAGGGGAGGGGGCTGGGGTGTGGGTGTGCTCCAGCAATAGGGGAGGGGGCTGTGATCCCGGGGGGGGGGGGGGAGGGGAGGGGGCTGGGGTGTGGGTGTGCTCCAGCAATAGGGGAGGGGGCTGTGATCCCCCTGGCTGTGAGAACAAGAGTGTAGGGGTGCTTCGGAAACAGCGGAGAGGGTTGTGACACCTCCCTCCCCCGGCCATAGGGACTGGGGCATAGGGGAGGGGGTGGGGTATAGGTGTGCTGCAGCAATGGAGGCGAGGGCTGTGGGTCCCTGGTTTTAGAGACTAGGGTATACGTGTGCCCTGACTATACGGGAGGGAGCTCTGACCCCCTTGGCCATAGGGGCGAGGTTATAGATGCGCCCCATCTATAGCTGAGGGGGCTGAGATCCTCATGTGAGTATATGGGGTGGGACACAGCCAGACTCCCCTTTAGAGAGGACTGCAGCGGCTGGGTCACAATCAGACTCGGGCTGTAGGAAGAGCGGTGAGACCCTTGTGCTTTAAGCTATAGGGCCTGGGACACAGATATTGCATGGCTGTAGAGGCTGGGACACTGCAGGGGCTTCAGCTGTCGGGCAGAGGACTGGGGACATGGCTGTAACTGCAGGGGAAGAAGGTGGACAGCACCCTGCTCACACCCCATCCAGAGGGGCAGGATGCAGCCAGCTCTACCCCAGTGGATGGAGAGGGGCTGGGACCCTCAGCACTGAGGTCTGGGGCTGTACACCATCCACAGTGTGGCTGGGTGAGATGCTCCAGGGGCCTCCAGCTGGAAGGGGTTCCCGGCTATAAACTGTTCGTGCTGCTCTTCACCAAGCACTGGATGATGTGGGGGTTTATTCTATCAAAGCTTTGCTCGGGTGGCCCAGTTGAGTCATGGGGCCGATTCCTTTCTGAGCTCGTGTGCCCAGCCCTGCATCCAGGACTCTCCTCCGAGCCCATGTGTCCGTGCTGGGAGTCCAGGATTCTCCTCCAAGCCCATGCCGAGGGTCCAGTCCTCTCCACTCCCGGGTTCCCCGGGGCAGACCGAGCAGGAGCAAACACCCACTCCCAGCTGTGCTGGGGCTGGGGAGCACCGAGCAGCAAAACCCCTGCAAAGCCACAAGGCCAAGGTCTCCTCAGGAGTCTCTCCACCACCTCCCCGCCCAGGGGGACTGCAAAGAGCTTTGCCCTGAGCCCTGAACTCCGGCGGGCTGGGGCGAGGGGTTCGGCCCGGTTTTGGTTAGAGGAGAGGCGTGGGCCACACTCCGCTCTCGGGGTGCCCTTGGGGGAGCCTTTGGGGCAGCGCAAAGGTCCCTGCGGGGACAGGTTGAGACATTTCCCGTGGCACCCACCCCGGGCACATCCGGGCCGGGGCCGCGCGGCCACCAGGTGGCACCAGGAACCCATGGACGGGG